ATTTCCATTGAAAGATATACGGGCGTAGTAATAGTGCGGTGGGATCTTGGAATATTATATTGTAGGTTAATATTATGTTTATAATCATGCCATTATGTGATGCGAAGATGGATAAATGTAATACTGTTTGAAACTGAAATATACCTTTTTTTCTTAACGATTCGTGAATTATAATTATGTATAATTTCAACGTTTTTTATCTATGTGTACGTAATAGCTATTTTGCGCGTCTTCTACCACGTGGAAGTCGGGATACGACATAATTTTGAAAAATCAAAGCCTGATCACTTTAAAGATATATATTAGCTTTTATCGCTACTGATATGGTGCTGTGCTTCTCTTACGCCGCCACTACATGACATAGTAGGTTGCTTTACGTTCATTCATACATTACAGCCCATTAAAATTATACTGCTGAAGCCTCGCCCGAAAATTGTCTCGTAGGAGGTTTACTTGCCATATAGTTGCCGGACGCCTATTATATATTATATATTGACTGTGGTTTAAGCCCTCTACCCGGAGCTTATGCTGCATCGTGGTTCTGTGACCTAAGACATCTTACTAATCTTTATCAATTAATGATCTAAATCCGAGAGAATATTTCTCTAAATTGTCTCTTCAAGAGACATTCGGATAAAAACATTCAGAGAAACGTAACGAGAGCAATATTATTTATTCATTCAGACAAGATATTGACAGACATTGACATAGTGGATAAAGTACCAAGTGAAGAATGCTAGATTTTATTTCTTAGTAAAATTTCCTTTTTAACTTTTACGTGGTAGAGCCACGTTGCAGCTATATTATGGTTGTGGCATTAGTGGGTCGGCTCGACCGGGGCAGTGCCACGCTCGCGCACTTTGCACTTTTCTAAATAATACAGAAAGTAGTCGCTAGACAGTGTTATCGTCAGTTAAAATCTCTGCGTTCGTCGTTTCGTCAAGGTAATTCAGGCTTGTTAAAGCCTTAATTAAGGTAAGTCGCTGCGCTTTACCATTTTCGGCTGCATCACCATTTACCATCAGGTGGGATATTTAATATTCAAGCACTGGATTATGATTGTGAAAAAATCTGCATTGTGGTTTTTCCACTAATTATACTGAGTGATAATGAAATTATTGGCATGTCTTCGATGTCTAAAATCAAATTTAATTCAATTATATCATTACGTTATAAATTAGTATCTTTTTGTGAACGTTAATAAACCGTGGTAAAATAAAACGTTTCTATCTTTTTTTTTTAATTTAAGCAACGTTAATTAATACTTAGATTTCTTCAATGTAACGACATCGTATATAGAAAAAAGTTAAAGTATAGTATATTATACCTTTTTTTACTAGCTGGAGATAAGCGTCTAACACTTTCGTGGAAATAAATATAAATATTGTTGATCGTCATCATTACAGGCCACTATGTCCTCTGCTGAAGATAGGCCTCCCCAATAGATTGCCTCATAGCGGGATATTTGCTATAGTTGCCAATTAAAATGCGGTTTAGCTACTGCGGATATGTTATAATTTTATGTTGTTATCTCTAACATGCTGCTACCTATCTCCTATTACATTTTCCATCTGTGGCCTCTTACGAGAATGACGAATATTAAAATATGAGTAAGTTCAATTTTACTATTCGTCATATACAACACAAGGAGTCGGCGAGCTCTTTGAATAGTATCATAAAGAACGTGAAAGTTTCCTATGGAGTTTTTATTGTGATCCCGACTAATGAAGTGAAACTGTTAACGTTTAATTTCCTGGTTTTTATCCTAATATATCATGAACAATATAAGTAATAGTATATATGTATGTCTTAAAATAATAAAAGATTTTGAAATTTTATTAAATTATTGTTATAAATGTATAAACACATAAAAATAATTAAGGTGTCTTTAATATTGAAGTAACCAACTTCCTTTACCCGCAAAAATATTGATACCCAGGGATCAGTCCCTGCTATACCAGAGTTTATCTAAATGTATTCATAAAGTTTATTATATTCTAATATTGTGATGGCGTAAAAGAGCCTATCCCTCGTCTAATGTATCATATGAGGCTAACCTACTTCGTCCAGTGTGCGTCGTAAGAGGTGATAATGAAAAAAATGTGGCTTTTGGTAAATGGTATAACTAGCTTGTTGAGGCCTTTTTTTGAAGTTGAAGAACTAGAAGTTGAAACTTGAAGTTGGCAAGCTATTAATACACAAACAACCATTTAAAGTTTTTTGTCTTTCTGTCTAAATTAATTACACTATTAATTACATTATTAATCAAATAAATTATTCAAGGTCTACTTCACGATCGATACGATACGATAATGAAAAATAGAGAGCAATGCCAGGAGTGATTGAAATATTTTGACACTCACATTTTAGAGTGTAGTATAAAACGTTGTTATATAACATGTTTCAGTAATGTGGACGCTGAATGTTATAAAACGTGTTATATAACGTGACACAACTGTTATATAACTCGTTCGGCAGAATGACAAACTAAAATGTCATACGACAATGTAATAAAACATTGTTATATTGCATTGTTATTCTAATGTGTACTGTATTGTTATATGTTGCAATGTTGAAAAACAACGTTACAGAATGTGGACGTGATATAAAACAAAAGTTATACAACATGTTACTTAATCTGTACGCACCCTTACTCTTTTGTGTGTTATGATGAAATGCTACTACATATATAACAACTGGATATAATTAATATAAAGAAAAATATATTTTTATGGTAAAAAATGCTCAATTGCTTAAGAAATTTAAATTAATTATAAATGGCATTAGCGTACGACTATAATTACAGAGTTAATACTAACAAGGATACGCTAACACCCACTAAGTACTGAAGGGGCTCGTAAAAATGATATATCGCCGGGTATTATGTGGGACCATGTGGCTATGCGGCTGCATTGCGTTGTTTTCATGTTAACATTAGTCCAAGTACGTGTAGAATATAAATCAGACATTTGCGGAGAAAAAAAGCAAGATATTTTGTTTCAAAATTTGTTGTTTAATTGTAAAATATGACGAACAAACATTTCAGCTAATGGTTAGTGGATACCCACATCTATATATGCTAAAAGGTTTTGTCTCATGTTGGTCTGGGACATATAGGTCTGAAGTTTATGTATTTTGAAGACGGTTAAACAAAATTTTCATAGTGATTAATGAGACACTCCATATTCAGGTACAACAAAAACCCGAACGGGTATTTGCTGCGCTAAAATAATGCGATTTCTCTCGTTTTTGACAGCCACATTTTATCTGTCGAAATGACAGATGCTGACAAGTTATTCCCTCTTTTGCTGTACAAACCGCATAGTTTGACCGCGTGTAATTTCGACAACAAGGATATAGATTCCCACCGATCATCTGGTGGAGTCATCAATGGCGAAAAATGGAGGGGAAAAAAAAAGAAATTAAGTAATTAGACAGTAAAAAGTATCAAGATTAGGTACAGTTTACTGAATATAGGTGAACGAGATACAATGACAACATTTTTGGATAGTACTTATATGGACTTGATGTGTTTAGTTTGGACTGTTAAAAAATAAAATTGGAATTCTATATTGTCACTGTCAGTCAAGTTGTATGCACTATAGAGTCTATTACTGGACTAAGCCATCTTTCATTACTAAGTAGATTTACATTCTTCGCAAATTTATTCAGACGTCTTTCAAATGTCTAGCTTAATTGGCGTTTGAATATTATTCTAAAGTCGTTTATTCTACATTCTCTTGATAATTTGACTACTATGATAACTGAAGCCTACATTAATCAACCTTTAATAGTTCAACATCGGACGAAGGCCAATTTTTAGATAACAAAATCTCACATTCGTTAACATAGATATTTTATATCATAAAATTTTTATCATTGAGATACGTGGACACCATAACATTGTGCTCTTTGAGATACTCCTCCTATATGATTTTGATGACGCGCTTGGAAACGTAATTTTACCGCATGTAAATTGTTTACACACCAACATCTCGACAACAAAAAATGCGAAAAAATCTTTAATTCAAATAGTTTTTTCTTTTTATCAATCAACTTATGAAAAAAGTTAATATACGCGAAAATTGATAAAAGAAATGCATATCGTAGAAGAAACGCTTGCAATTCGAAGTTACGGCAGTGCAAATTTTGCGTGATATCACCATTACCATTATATATATATGATATATATAGTGCTTTATATATACATATATATATATATATATATATATAGGTATATATATAGTGCTTTATATATATATAGGTATATATATATATATATATATATATATATGAATAAACGAAAATTAAAAATTAAAATAATTTAAGTGGTAAAGTAGCAATCAAGCCTTTGCCGCAATAACAGTTCCTTTGATAGAACTCAAGCCAAGTAGATTTTTTTCATTTACCTGTTCAGCTAAGTGGAGTATGATAACAAGTTCAGTATGATAACAAGATGACAAAACTGTGAAAATAACAAAATAAAAAATTCTATGAAGCCTGATAACTTCAACTGATAATTGATATTATATTGGCTCTTTTTAATTGTAAACTACAAAAAAGGAGAAGGCTTAATAAAATTCGACTGTAAGGTTATTGTATGTTTGTTACGTAAAAGCATGTTATGTGTAAGTAAAAGCCGAATATAATGATCTAAAAATAATGAAACAATTTCATATTCTGAAACCAGTGCTATAACCATCTATGACCATGTGATTTAAAAACCTCATATACTATTTTATTAGTTCTTAGAAATTGGGTTCTACATTTAAAATAGTAATTATTCCGATAGCCAATAGCAAATATAACGTAAATTATGCTTTAATATAGATAGTAATTGCATAATGACCGGAGTCGAGGGCATACTAAGCAATAAAATTGTTAATAATTCACTCTTTACATAGTTGCAGCGCACCATTCTAACGTGAGAACTTGTGCTGGTTAGACTGGGAGCTAGTACATTGTAATTAAAAGTGTTAAAGTGGTTAAAGTGAAGTAAAATGACTTTTGTGAATTGGGTCCCACCAGATATAACTAATATCTGTGCTGAGACTATAGCACCTCTGACACAATGCTCGCCCACGGGGTTCATGTTTTTAACCCTAGTTGCTAGATTATTTGGTGGTTCAGTGGAAAATCAGATTTCCCTTCCTAAAATTAACCCTTACTTAAAAAAATCACATGGATTAACTTCAAATGTTTTTCATGCACCTGAAAAATCTTATCCCGATGACATATATATTCCTCAATTAGGGGCAAACCTTATCACTTCTGACTTAGTCGTGAGACCACCGGTCACTGAACTCGGTCCACTCGTAGAACCGAACTTATATCCAAGCAATAAAAAAATAAATAATCTTGCTCTAGAGTATCCCCAAGTTCCTAGCTATACAGAACTTTACAGTAGACCAGATTTTGAGTTTGAATATGAATCTCAAAACAATCCGTTCACTAAATATTTCTCCAGAAATCCGAATTTTTATCAGCGTGGTGATGAAAGAAGTTACGTTGATAGTGATGCAGAAGATTCTAGTAAAGTGACAGTCAAAGTGAACAAAAGTAACAAAAAAAGAAGTAGAAGAAAAACAAGGCACATACAAGATGAGTACGACTTTATTATTGTGGGTGCAGGATCAGCTGGATGTGTGATTGCTAATCGTTTATCTGAAGTTAAAAAATGGAAGGTATTTTTTTTTCTTATAAACGTAAAGATTAAAACTTTTTGTAAATCACTATTTGTCGCAAAATAATCTATTCTTAATCAATTGTATAATCTTGCTTGGAAAATTGAAGACTAGAATACAAAAAAACATGTATACTTTATTCTCTAGATAATAATATAAGCAATTAGATCTTACTTAATGTTATAAAAATCTTATAATATTGTCTTTTGCTAACTTCAAATAAGATGATGTTCGCAATTAGACTGTTTATCTTTTCCTTTTCGTGTAAATATTAATATACGATATTTGTACATAACTATTTAGATGACACGTCAGTTGTAAACTTATTAATTAGCTCCTGATATTTGTTATACAACATAAATGAGTCGAATTATTATTATTATTATTTATAAAAAGTAAGAGTCGACTTTTAATATATAAAAAGCATAAAATTATTTCTAGATTCGGATTTAATTATTCTATACAAATATGTAAAAAATATTTTAGTAACGATTGTTAGTTTTTTTTTTTCTGTAAAATGAAAAAGTGTTCATCACTACACCAAGGAGTCGTGGTTTACTTCAAAACATGTCCTTACGAAATAATTTTTATTTCTAGTTGCCTTACATGTAGTGCAAGTAAGCTACCAGTAGGGTGCGAACATGAATTGCTCGGGTATTATGAGAATTTAAAACTTAGTACCAGCCTCACGGTAAAAATACTTATGTCATGGAATTTGGTCAGAAATCAGGTATCTATTTTGCACGGGCTAATAATCAGAGAAGGCCTATGTGCAGCAGTGTAATCGATTTTTAAAACATAATTTTTGTGTTTAATATTTTAGTCATATCCTTATAAAATATTTTCTCAAAATTATTATTGTTCTAAATACACAAAGTCTATAATACTATCCACTTTAAAAAAAAAATTCATAATTTCAATGAAAATATTGTTAGTTTCCCTCTTTCGTACCTAACGACATCCACGCGATTAAATTGGGAAATGGATATTCTTACACCGTCACTATACGGTAAACAAGTTAATGCCCTTCATATCAAATTTCAATCTCGGCGGTCCGTCTCAATGGAGACTAGCCGTGTGTAGGAGAGAATTTTAGTGTCCGAGTGTTCGATGGGACAGCAACCCGAAACAACTGGAGAGAGACAGGGCACAAACCCAACGGCTTTCGGTGGCGGCAAGGGGATGACACTCCTTCAATTTACTAACTCTAGGATGCTTAGTAATGAGAATTTCTTGACAGAAAAACCTAGTAACTAATTTTGGCCCGACTATGGATTCGAACCCGGGGCCTCATGCTCCTACGCTTACAACCACATGCAACGAAGCAGACATGTAAATATTTATACATATCACAAAACTAGATCAGTTTTTGCAAAAAAGAACTATTGATAGTGTCATTTTGTGTTAAATAATAAACAACATGTGAAATCATCATGTTCATCATCACGTAAAAGTTCACAGTAAGACATATCTTTACGCTTAGCAGGTGCATTGACAATCGCGGTACCGAGCGTCTCGTCCTTTTGTCGTAGTCTGGATATTGCTAGTTCTTCCCAGGCCAGAGGTATTTACCAAACTAGTGGTAAATAAAAAAATGACTTTCAACAAATATTTTATTATAATAATCAATATTGAATAAAAATCATTCTATTCCATTCCATTCGATTCCATTCTATTAAATGTCTTAAAGAGATGGTTATACTGCCATCTATCGGAATAGAAATGCTTGATTTCATTCTTAAAATTAAACAGAATGTTATTAGCTAACAAAAATATGTATTTGGAACAAAAGTTTACCGTGTGTATGAGAAACTACTCATTAGCGCTCAGGTTGCAATAAAGATAAAATTCTATCATGTAACAGTCAATGGAAATATATGTTGAGCAAGATATTATTAACTTACATACATTAATGACTTCATATTTAAATAATTAATTTAGAATAATTTGTAAATTTTATAGCATGGGCGCCGATTGTCGTTTAGTTGCGATGTAAAGTAATCCGGTGATCCGTATCTTCTCGTAGGTGTCGTAAGAAGCGATACAGTGGAACCGAAGCAGGAGATAAGACATCAGCATCTTTTTGAATTTTTTTTATAGGATAAGGGTGACCAACGAGCACAGTCCACCTGATGGTAAGTGGTTGCTGTGGCCCATAGATATCTACATTTATCCTCGATTAAGAATCAAAATGCAGATGCGTTGTCACCCGTGAGGACTAAGATGGAATGCCTCGTTTCCAGTTTAAATTAATTGAAATTAATAAAAATTGCGGTTGCCAACCCGCTTGCCAAGCGTGGTATCTATAGCAAATATCCCCAATATGAGGCACTTTATGACGGAGGCCTTTGATCAGCAGTTAACTTTACCTTTTAGGCTATAACGGTAACGGTAAATAAAAATCTGTCTGACGAATTTTCACCATTACGTATAAACTATTACGGAAAATATAACAGTTTAATATTATGGTATAAACATATTTAATATAGTTAATATTGAGAAACATGTATATGAGCATTCACATAACGTTTTCACTTTTACACGCTTCGCTGGTTTTCTCTTAGGGAACGTAAGACGTGGTACATTTTCGCACACTAACAATAAATTAATTGGTAAAGCATGCCCTAAAAAGTTTGGTCGTGTGAAAATTGCAACCAGCAAGTTGATATTTCTTGGGAAAAATCACAATCGTGTTATGTTGTATATTGTGAGCTCAGTAAAACTATCGATACCGTGAGAAACTTTTACTTTTTGTATGAGAATGTCCAATGTTTATGAACTACTTTATAGGTAGGATTCTCTTTCTGCTTAGAAGTCCATCTGGGTAGTTACCACTCTCTGACCTATTTCTGCCGTCAAATAGTATTGCTTGCAGAACTCTGTAAGCAATGTTATTTGAATTACTGAAAGGTACAGAGAGCCAGTATAATTACAGTTTATGAGGAATTCCATCTTTGTTCTCAAAGATGAGAACTAATCTGTAGCCTTCTTTGTTTGAAGTTGGCTGCAGGTGGTTGGTTTCATAGGATAAGAGTGACAAGCGAGCACACAGTCCACCTGATGGTAAGTGGTTGCTGTGGCCCATGGGCATCTACATCTATCTTCTTTTGGGAGTGAAAATGCAGATGCGTTGTCGGCCGTGAGGACTAAGATGGAATGCCTCTTTTCCAGTAAAAAGGGCTGCGGTTCTTTACACTCACCATACAAAACACTAAGCATTAAACCGCTATTTTACGCTGGTATTCTGTGAGAGCACGATCCTTCCCTGGTCAAGCCGACCCGTTCGTGCTACAACTATACAATTAATATAGCTGTAGCATGGCTCTACCACGTACAAATCTATGGTCATGGTGACCCCGCAACGGAAAATATCCATTAAGATTTCTCCACGAGAGTTGTGAATGGACTGCAGTAGTCTCTTGCCATTAATTAGACTGTAAGTTCATTTATGACTTCAGTATTATAAAAAAAAATAGGTGGTCAGTGAACCAGACTTCTACGTTCGGAAATCTGTTCTCGAAACCGTGTAAACTAGCATTCTTTAAAACTTGTTTACGCAAATACGTTAATTGTGTAGTGAATTTACTTGCATATCTAATATTGCATCCTTCTCCACATAGTAATTTTTTAAGCCATACACCGATAACAGCACGTTAAAATTCTTGCGTCTATAATTTTTGGGAGTAATTGATAGCTACCAACCGTATTCTGAAATGACCGTCACGGAACAAGCGATATTGGTTTATTCAATATTATAATTACAATATAATATGCACACAACATAATATGCATTTAAAATCATTTTCAACAAACCAAGGTAGTTTAAGGTGCACATTGTGTAAGAAAGATGAAAGATGCGTGAGTAAGTGCTTTCAAGAGTTTGATCATGGTTTTGGCGCCTCATGAAATGTACGCAACGTTTCGACTATTTTTCGTTTCTGATGTAAGTTTTTGTGCTGTGGCCCATAGACATTTACATATTCACAATTAAGAAACAAAATGCACATGCGATATCATCCCTAAGGTCTAAGATTTTAGTAACGAAGTTAAAAATAAGAAAAGATTATTGAACAAAGACACTGCTTATTTCATATTAAAATCTCTTCCAGCGAGCCTGATATCTAGACAATTCAAAAAGAAGCATATTTTGTGTGCACTCTTATATTTATATGATTTTAAAGATGCACAAGCACACACAAAATCACAAACACGCACACGCAAGTGTGTTTTCATTCAATTGTTCGTCGGTCATTCGCTGTCCGAAAAACATGCATGATGCTTGTTATTTATTAATTAATATATGCGTAATAATATATGCTGTGTGTTTATAATCAATAAATGTTTAATTAACCGAATGTAATTGTTTATATTCATTATTACGTGAACATGACATTTTTGCATTTGATGTGTGTAAGAATTTTCATCATGCTCATGCCTGTAAAAGTTAAAGTTAAAGACCACGAAATAGTTTTCTTAACGTAAATTTCTTACCGTAAAACTCCACAAAGCCACACCAAAATGAATAAATATCTTAAATTATTTTAGTTTATTATTAAAACTAAGGTGATTTATCATTATAATGGGGCGTTCTTTCTTACGGAATTCAGCAATGCCATACTTTTGTAATACGAAATTACAACAATATGGCATTGTATTTAGCCTTCACATCAATTTCCAAACTAAATCCTCATTGATGAATAAATCTCGTATTTTTTTAACACAACTTCATAGGCACATTTTACAACCCGCAGACTGTGTACGCGTATGACTTTAAAATTAGTGTAGTAACGTGTAACTAAAGTTATTAAACTTGTATTCAGATTTTGCTACTTGAAGCTGGGCCTGAAGAACCAGACGTCACAAGTGTACCTGGGTTTGCACCAACTTTAGGCAGATCTAGTATCGATTGGATGTATAGAACACAACCAGAAGAACTAAGTTGTAGAGCACATAGAGGACAAAGTTGCGCATGGCTAAGGTGAGTATTTTAAATTAAAATACGCACGTTATACACATAACATATTTTTACAAAATGTTAGATTTTTCTAAAAGAATAAACTTAGATTTTGTGTGAATTATATAATATGTATAAAGTTCATAATATTTTTGTATTTAATCGATGTTTTTACCATTACCTACCATTTACATACCATTTATATGTAATTTATCTGACACAATAACATTTTTGATATCTCCTAAAAGTATCTACTAAAAAGTTCTACTTATGGAAAAATATACATAATAATTTTAAATACCAAAAACTTATAGTGGAAGAGTTATGGGTGGTTGAAGTGCAATTAATTATTTAGTATACATGAGAGGAATTGAGAAGGACTACGATGACTGGGCAGCTTTAGGAAACACAGGTTGGAGTTTTAGAGAAGTATGACTTTCCAATAAATTAATATCATTTATTAGATCTTTATTATATTTTTTATATTTTATTCAAATGTAATTTCCAGGTTCTTCCGTATTTTATAAAATCTGAAAACAATCGAAATATCATAGCTGTAGATAAAAATTTCATGGAACGGGTGGCCCTTGAATATAGAAAAGTTTAAAGTTATTGACAAGAATGTACATATGCTCTTTGCTGCTTTTAATGAATCCGGCCTACCAATAGTCGATTCTAATGATGAAAAGCAAATAAGTACTATGATTACCCAATCTTCTTCCGAAAATGGAATAAGGATGTCTCCTAATACAGCATTCGTGAGATCAGTTGGAATAAGTCGAAGTTTGTATATTTATACAAACGCTCAAGTTACTACGATTTTAATTAAACGTCGCAGTGATAAGCTTGTAGCATACGGTGTAAAATATTCGAGGAACGGCGTTATTAAAAAAGAAATTTAAAAAAAAGAAATAATAATAAATGCAGGTGCTTCGAACTCTCCGAAAATATTATTATTATCTGGTGTTGGGCCAAAAGCGGATTTACAAATGCTCGGAATTCCTGTACATATGGATTTGAAAGTTGGGTATAATATACAGGATCATGTTACTACTGATGCCTTTTTGATAATACTTTCAAAAAAACTTCGACGCTGATAAAAGATGTACAAATATTAAAGGAAGTTATAAATTTTAATAAGCTTACACAAAAAGATAGGTTGCTGGCAGCAAATGAACCTCTTCAAATAATTGCTTTCATTAGAACTAAATATGCAAATGTAGACAAAACTGTACCTGATATTCAATTTCATTTTGATGGACGTAATCTAAATGACTTTTATGCAAACCCATCACATTATTTAACAACTAATATTCTTCCTTTATATTATTATGATAGTATTAATTATAGACCTATTCTCCTATTACCAAAGAATAGGGATTATATTACTTTAAATAAAAGTGATCCAGTATTTGGACAACCTTAATTTATCCTAATTTTTTTTTTTGAAAACCAGTTAAAGCTTGTGAGAATTCGAGTGGGGCACCAAGGATTACTTATTCTGTGTACTGACTCGGTACACTGCAACTATCTTTCATCCCGCGGGTACATGCAAAATGGGACCGATAAACGATAGAAACGCTTTTGTTGATAATAAATTAAGAATATTATGGCTTTTAAAATTTAAGGGTAGCAAATGCATCAATAATGACAAATTCAATTCGAGGTAATACAATGTGACTGTTATCATGAGAGGTGAAAAAGTTTCTGATGTGATAATAGAAATCTGGTAGAATTGAAACATTTTGACTATTTAAGATTATTTTAAATCTATTTTTAAGAAACGATACGTATCATAATGATTTCTTATACTTACGCGAATACTACACATTTAAATAAAACTAGTTTTTACGGATTCTTATTTATTTTTTATATGTATCACTTAATAAAATAGTAAATTATTACTGTGTTTCATTTAATATTCACCATAAAATCAAGAAAGATGAAATATGACATTGGGGTAATGCTAAGTTTGCGTTACAAAATAATACGCATTTCACACGTTTGTTAATAAAATTAAGTATTTAGTTATTTTTAGATATAGATGTAACAGTAACTACTTCACTTTGATCATGTAGTAGTAGACAAAACGATTGTTAAATAAATAATTACTGTACTAGTAAAAGTAGTGATAATTCCGTGTGTAAAAATAATGCTTGTATGAATTTATTTTTTTACCCTTCATAAGAATAAGCTTTATTTGTTTCCCTTCATTAGTAGTTTGTATATTTTTTTCTAAACCTTCTTGCCTATCATTAAAAAGTATGTAGGCCCTAGTACCTTCTAGAGCTAATTTATTAGTTAGTAAATTTTAAAGTATTTAGTAATTTAAAACTATGAAAAATAATAAACCAACATAATAAGATATCATATTTTTCAGAGGCAAATCGATGGGCGGATCTAGTGCCATAAACTATATGGTATATATGAGAGGAAACCAAAGAGATTATGACTCTTGGGCAGAAATGGGAAATCATGGATGGAGTTTTCAGGAGGTAAGCTCATTATTTTATGTATACTTTTTATTGTAATTTTAACATAAATCATTGTAGTTTCTTTGTTTGGAGTTTCTTTTGCAGTTTCTTCCCCAGTTACACGAATCTCATATCCACGGTAGTAGATTTTAAAAAATATACGTTAACGAAACGACATTTTGTTTTCTTACGTTGATGAAATAGAATTTTCATTACATTTCATATTAATTTTAAAGGACGAAATTCCGCTGAAGCAGCTAAAAAAGAGGAGAAAAGGAGAGCGTGTTTTTATTCCTCGCATTACAATTCCCGCTTAAGTTAGGATTTACTATAACAATTAATAAGTTCAGAGTCAGACTTCACAGAAGTGGCGGATAATAATTTGGGCTCTACGTACCTTTCTGTATGTCAGCTATTTGAGAGTATCGAACGCTCAAAACCTGCACGTCCGGCAAACAACAATAAATCATAAAAATATGGCTTACAGATAAACTTTACCATAAATATTTTATTTACTGTGGAGTGGGCAACTTCAACTTTAAAATAATGATATTCAGTGTTATATTGTAGTATCCTTTTTTTAAGTGGTAGAGCCATGCTGCAGCTATATTAGTAGTATAGTTGTAGCATGAATGGGCCAGCTCGACCGGGTCAGGACCACGCTCTCAGAGAATACCAGCGTAAAATATCAGCTTAACACTGCTGTGTTTCGTAAGGTGAGTGTAGCGAACCGTCGACGACCGAGTTCTTTCCGATCGGCTCGATTCAAATGCACTGCGGAGAGTTGTTGCGTCCCTTTGCATTTTCTTTCGCATTTACCACGGGGAGTGCTCTGAGAAATTGTTCCGATTAATCTCAGCCGCCACATAACACAGCAGAACTCCCGAAACCATCCATACTATCTGGATGATTGGTGGTTCACTACTGTGCTATTTAGAAGATGTTTTCTTCCTCGCGCAACTTTCTTATGAAATAAATCACCACCAGCGATTTTTCCGGATCGATACTACTTAGGGACCTTCAAGAAAAGAGCATACTCCTTTTTAAAAGGCCGGCAACGCATCTGCGATTCCCCTCTTACCCTGGTGTTGCAGTTGTTCATGATCGGCGGTAGTTACTTACTATCAGGTAAGCCGCATGCTCGTTTGCTCCCTCTCCTATAAAAAAAAGAGAACCGGAGACCCTTTTTACTATAAAAGAGGCATTTCGTCTTAGTCCTCACGGGTGACAACGCATCTGAATTTTGATTCTATATTGAGGATAGATGTGGATGTCAATGGGTCACAGCAACTACTTACCATCAGGTGCACTGTGTGCTCGTTTGTCACCCTATCCTATAAAAAAATCCAAAGTAGTGTATTTGACTACTACGCTGACAAATTTACAATCGAAAGCTGTAAAAAAGGGTGAACTCGGGCTGTAATTAGTCGAAATTATGTATTTTTTCGACCTCTAAGCGGGAGGCGCAGCAGGAAAATGCCAGTTAAAAATTACAAGCTAAAAACTCTTCGCCATTCATCTAATTAATATGAATTTTTGGTGAGACTTTGCGCGCACCGCAAGTGGAATCTGGCTGTCATGAGTGCCTTAAACCCAACGCTGGTGACCTATTTGGAAGCCAGCCGGAACCTTTGCGAGACGGAATCAATTCTTTTTAGCGCCACACTGGCAGTATTCCGTATTATTGATGCCAAGCTCCCCACGACTGGACGTACTAGACAAAGTAACGCCATACCATCCTGTGGAATAAGAATTGAGGAACGCATCGCAAAGGTTAGGGCCCTCATCGCCACACTGATATGATTCAGGTCAGGTCAGGCAATGACAAGCTTAGGATTGGGCGTACCATCGGAATAGACAGGCTAGGACCAATATCAGTTTGTTCCAGCCGGATATAATACAAAAACTGAAGGAGCGCATAGACGACCTAAAGCAGAGAATCGCTGCTTAGTGAAAGCGGATTCGGCGATATACTGCGAGGTCGACAGGGTTTAACCAGAATTATCTCTTCCAGAGTCTTTTAATAGCCAGTGTGCCTATTGTTGCCTAATCCGTGTGACGTACATTCACTGTGCCTGGATTTGATCGTATTCTGTATGGCATTTACACGCATTTACATGCGCGACTTCGGTCGATGTTTGTGCTTATGCACTACCAAGGGGCCAAGTTCACTTTTAGTGATACGCCAGTTATTTAACTGTAGACTACGGTCCAGTACCCAACTTAACGTTCCCTTCGGGGGGAGCGCGTTGGCTGGTTGGCACTCACCATACACGGCGTGTGTGGAGCCGTGTGCCTCCTCCACATTTTTTTTAAATGTGAGAAAGTCTTGTGTTCTATATAAATATTGTGAGCCCTTTCCGGGAAGCGGGGCGGGAAGGGATCAATTAATAAGGAATTGACTGTTGTGAACCTGATACAAGTGAAACAGAGATGATTTAATGTTCCTAACCTATTTTGAGCTCTGTCTTTGTGTACGGGGTTCTTTAGCTTATAAAGCACTACCAACAGCTTTCAACTGCTGTGTTGAATGTTTATTCTTTCAATATTAAATTATTATTTTTTATATTTAATTTTGAATATAATACTTATTTCCTAATTATTGTCAATTTATGACATACTGATTTTTTAAACATATTTAATTAAGATTTACAAAGGTACATCACATTGTTTATATAAAACAGTGGTTTTGATTATAACCTTATAATTATTTACAGGTGCTGCCGTATTTCAAGAAAGCAGAAAATAACCAAGACGTTGAAGCTCATAATATTTTTTATCACTCTACCAGTGGACCACTGAACGTTGAAAGATTTCCTTATACGGATATTAATACACTTATGTTGGTACAGGCTTTCAAAGAAAAGGGTTTACCCATAACGGATTTCAATGGAGAAAATCAAGTTGGCACGGATATAGCGCAGTCGACATCTAAAGATGGGCGTAGAATATCTACAAATGCTGCTTACATAAAACCTATTAGAGGAAAACGACCAAATTTAAAAATAATTAATGAAGCGTTTGTTACAAATATAGCAATCGATCCCACAACGAAATCCGCTGTCGGTGTTCACTATATTAAAAATGGAATATCTTATTCTGCATTTTGTAAAAAAGAAGTAATAGTAAGCTCAGGATCATTAAATTCTCCGAAAATTTTAATGTTATCTGGAATAGGTCCAAGATATCATTTGAAAAATCTAAATATACCTGTTATAGCCGATCTTAAAGTGGGACACAACCTTCAAGATCATGTTACGACGGACGTGTTGGTAATACAACTTTCTAATAAAACATCTACTTCAGTAAGTGGTGAACAGTTATTGCACGAAGTATACAAATATTATCAACAATATCCAACAAAACATGGTCCTCTATCTGCTACAGGAACTTTGAGCGGCATAGCTTTTATAAAAACAGAATACACTAATGAAGATGCTCCTGATATACAATATCATTTTGATGCACGAAATGTAAAAGAATTATATTCTGATCCAACAAACTATTTAGCAGCTAATATTTTTCCACTATCATTTTACGATGGACTAGCAGCCCGAACTTTATTACTTACTCCTAAAAGTAGAGGATTTATATTACTTAATCAAACTGATCCAGTATTTGGTCAACCACTAATCTATCCAAGATTTTTTACGGTTAAAGAAGACATGGATACGCTATTAGCCGGAATGCGCTATGTAGTAAGCTTAGAAAAAACCAAAGCATTTAAACAAAGTGGTGCAAGCTTTGTGAAAGATCCAATTAGAGGATGTGAAATTTATCCATGGGGTTCAGATAACTATTTTATTTGCATTCTAATGCAATACACGTCTACAATATATCATCCAGTAGGCACGTGTAAAATGGGGCCTGCTTGGGATAGAGAAGCGGTAGTGGATCCACGATTAAAAGTTTATGGTGTTGATAAACTTCGAGTAATCGACGCATCTGTAATGCCTAAAATCGTAAGAGGTAATACAAATGGACCAACAATAATGATAGCAGAAAAAGCATGTGATATGATAAAAGAGGATTGGATATTATATTAATTATATTATAAATACATAGGTACTTTCATTTACATAATTGGTGCTTATAGTCACTTATTCTACATTACGAAAATGTACATCGATAAGTATAATTTATAGAATGTATTGTATATTTTGAAAAATTCATAACACTTTTTTAATTTATTATATATCACGAAAAACTAATAAATAATTTCACAGAATAACTATCACATTTGCTTTGTGATTAATTTACAAAGATGTAATTTGGTGTAGAGTTAAAAATAATATAATAAGGAATATTTTGTAATTTGTAATTGCGTCGATTTTCTTTTCTTTTCTGTGAACTTGCAAAACTTACTTATATTATTTACTATTATTGTAAATTACACCAAATGTGCTAATAATGTTTGGAATAATTTAATAAAGTAGTCGATTGGTGGTTTCGAATACAATTTTTTATTAAAAAATAACACAAGTTCTGCTTACATATACTGACAACAATATAGATAATAAAACTGTATGCGGATGGAAAGGATAATGTCACGACATCTTGTAATCTGTTTATCTCATCATAAGCGTGTAGCTGTTATAAGGTTGATCTATACAACATGTTACATAATACCCCGTAAAAATATAATTAATTATCATAATTATAAAGCTATCATGTCAGGGAACCAGATTATTTAACAGAAATGCCTACGTACCTATTTTAATAGTTTTTCTATTTTTCAATCATAAATGTTTGCTACCTCAATACAAGGATGTCATTAAAGAGGCGATTGACGACTTTCCCGTGGCTGACTGGGATTACTTGGAGAACCAAAGAAACATGGTGTTTCAGCATGATGGAGCTCCGGCACATTTTGCTCGCAACGTACGAGAACATCTTAACGTTCGCTTTCTGCGAGGATGGGTCTACGGGGAACCGGTGCTATGGCCTGCTCGTTCTCCGGACCTTACACCCTTGGACTTCTTTCTGTGGGGTTATGTGAATGACAGAGTGTAAAATGAAAATAGTAATATTTTTTTTATTTTTTGGGGTATGTTATACAGCGGTTCTTAAATAATGTGAATGGATTAGTTATAAGGCCCCATTTAACCTTCTTTCGCCTTTAACGGGTAGTTTTGTAACACCCGGTAAATTATATTAACATTATACAAGTTACATGGTAATGGCTAAATTGACTTCTTTATTGGTCTAGTGGTCGTTAGCGCACATGCTGATCATGTGGTCCGGATTTGAGTCCCGGGTCGGACCTTAATCAGTATTTGATTTTTCTGTCAAGAACTTCTTGGTAGCAATCTGGAGTCAGGAAGTTGGCGGTTTTATATCCTCGTGCCTCGAAAATTACGAAAAGCCGTTAGGCCCTGCGCCTGATCTCTTTCCAATTGTGTCAGATTATTGTTACAGTGAGGGAACAGAGAGTGGACCTGTGATCACGCACTCACTCGTGCACTATAATCCTATCCTGCGCAAGATGGCTAGTCTTAATTGCGACTGGCCGTTGTGATTGAAATTCGGTCTTATGGATATTGCATCATAATGTTAACCATATATTTACCTAATTATCTATCATGATTTTACTTTTCTCTGGCTGATGGTGGTTTTTTTATTATTTTTAAATATGGTAGTATATTAAAGTTTTATTCACAAAAGTCGTGCAATCTTGTATTCGTCCTTTTCTTTTAAGGTTTTTATCAATTTAGATCCGCACTGCTTACTCAACCATAGTAATTATTAAAGGGTAATTATCTTTCTTTTGGAATTTCAGATTGGGATATGAGAGTTAAATGATGATTTTTCTTTTAATTATTAATATTTATATTACAAAAAAATAACGCAACATTAAAACAAAAAAAAACAATTCAATAGTAAACGAGATCCAATTTAAATATTCAATCATACTGGTATAAAGTAAAAGAGCATTACTATTTATTAATTTGACAGACAATTGTACAAACTTTAACTGTTATACTTACGATGGATACAACCTTTTTTGAATTGTATTGATTTTTATAAAATGAAAAACAGTCATATATAACTTTTTTTAAGCTTTGAACTTTTAATTAGCATTTCTGTATTCATAATGTTTTATTTATAGATTTTTTTCATTTACATAATATACAAGGGGAAATAATGTTCCTGCGTTTAGTTTTAGACTGTCATGACTTTTAATTGAAGAGACATGTATGTTCAGTATTGTCTAAATTTTCATAGACTGTAATGAATAAACGAAGGAAATATTGAGTTATATAGAAGCATTACATTACAGCTCCTTTTTATGTCTTACAGTATAAATACCTATATATTTTTGTTATAAATATAAAGTGGTGAATTTAACCAACTTGACTTTTTCTAATAATTGTAAAAAGTTGAAACTTTTATATGTTTACACTTTACCCGTGACGTGTCATAGCAGTCAAAATTTAAATTGTTGTCAAGTGTCAACGTTCTAGAACTGGATCGCGCGCTTGTTCGACCTACTTGTGTTTAGCTAAGATTTATCTTTATTTTCCTATGAAACCAATATAAAGTTGTTATTGTTCTGAAATCTGAAATATATTTGCTATTTGTATTTATAAAATTTACGTGATTTGATTGAGTAATAAAGTATAAATTGAAGCAAGAAAAGAGTTTTGTTATTTTTAGCTGAGGGGATGAGTCGCTCGCGTCCGTAGGCTTCGACCACCTAATCCTAGGCCCACCCTACACGTGGTGCTTTTTCGATATGTTTTCTTCGAAAATTGTTAAAATAAATTAATAGAAATCTAAAAAAATAATCTATGTCCTTAATTACAAATTCGATATAAGAGGAAAATTTTGGTTCGAAAAGGTTCGCGACAACAAACTGGATGACTTTTTCGTTATGCTTGTGTTTGACTTATTTGTGGATAGTGGGTGACACAGAAGTCACGCTCTTTAATTTAATAAATAAATAAAACTCAAGGTTTTTAAGTACGTTAAATATTGAACCAATTTATATTTGTGGTCTTTTTCACTTGCCAAGGCCACAATAGAAAAAAACAACAGTCAATGACTGTGTGTGTAAAATGATAATGACCGTTTTTAACTCATTTCGAGCTAAGTCTGGATATTTTACGTCCGACGTAAACTAAATAGTTATACAGCCATAAATCGGAAGCCATAATTGACCTATTGGTATACGTGTTCTTAGTTTGAAAGTTTTGAGTAATTCATAAATAAAATAATTTACATGTATACTAATATATTTACTGACTAGCTGTGCCCGCGGCGTAGCTCGCGTATACAGGTTTTACATAAAGAATTTGTCGTTTAGGTAAGAGAATATTAAACGATTTATTTTATTACTGTATATAATAATAAGTGGTAACTAAATAAATCATTATCATCAAAGTTCTAAGTCGTTTATGATAGAGCTTCTGTGTAAACGACGTTAGAAGTAGGCTTAGCCGGGCTGTACACAAAAAGGTTACGGGGGCTACTAACGCGGGAAAAAGCAACATAGAGTTGGCCATGTGCAAAACAGTCAGTACTGAGGTACACTCCTACAACGCGTAAAGTTTGACCTTGCGCTTTATTTACGATCATCGCATAACACATGCTCACTGTAAATGGGAACTGAACGCGCTTAAAACTGAAAGGAAAGTTACTTCTTAATAGAGGGTTTTTGGGCAGTGCTGCCAGCTAAAAAAAAACTCATTCAGCTCTAGGACAACACAAAAAGCGCTAGATTTCATGAAAACAGCGCTTTAAAAATCCCTAGATTTCGCGCTAAATTAACTACAAACAAAGTTTGTGTTTTTTTATATAATCATAATAAAGAAAACAACATTAAGTTTTTTTTTCTGGCAATTTTTTTTGATGTATCAATACTTCGCAGGACATCGACTTATAATTATGGCAATTGCTGTCAACAGTAGTTAGTACTGTACGAACAATAAAAATGTCATTAATTGTTTTAAAGTGCAATGTATTTCGCAACTTAGTTTCAGATGTCAGCATCTGATTGCGGTTGCTACACAGTTTCTTTGTGTTATAACTTCAAAGTAACTTTTAACTTAGCTGTGCTCTAAGCAACTGACTGAAACTGAATAAAGCAAAATAAATGCGTTGCCAAAACCATGAACGAAAACTTTAATAAAGGGGATTTCCCCGCTTATAGTCGTCGGTAAAAAAATCAAGTTGATCATCCTAAAGGGGAAGCCAGGAGATCCATAGCACAGGGTATCCTAGTTTGGACTCGTCTCCCATGCTCTTTGCTTTGTGGAAAAAATATGTTTGAAAAAGATAAACTGCAATGTACTATTTGTGGGAAAAAATAATAAAGGTCATTATTATTATTATCTGTAATGTGGACTAACAGTGCTGCTATAAAAGAGTTAATAACCCGCTAGTCGCTAAAATATTGAAATGTGTGCTAAATACACCAAAAAGCGCTGGATTAAGCTAGGTGCTAAAATTACGAAATGCGCGCTATACATTCCAAAAAAGGGCTAAATCTAGTTCCCAAAGCGCTAAAATGGCAGTACTGATTTTGCGTATATTATAAATACAATATCACGACATTTCGTTGCAAAATTTTTATTTTTGGTCGGGTTCCGTTGTATGGCTTCGATGGTTACAAATTTCTTCAGTAAGTCTCAATACGATTCATCAGCGAAAAATCTCAACACAGCAATTCAGAAAAGTTTGTAATTTGTACAACTCCATCTATTACGTCCTTTGTGTGAGAAAACATCCTTTGTAAATCTCTTTTTGTGTTTTAAGTATAAATATATTAACTATTATGGAACGTTTTTTTTACACACAAATCTTTTTATTACTATTTCTGAGATTTTATGGCGCCATTGAACAAATTCGAACCTACATTTCAAAATAATAATCATTACTTTCGATAGAATTAACCAATTTTAATAAAACAAAGATTAAATGTAACTCGAAAAACGCTTTATGATTTTCTTAACGATTTCTTTGAAAATAAAAGATGTTTACTTTAGACGTGATGCGTTCATATAATAATAGACAAATAGACAGACAGACAATTCTAAAAATTATA